CAACCTAACTTCACTCTACAAAGAATGCTCTAAAGACCAAATCTAAACATTTAAAATACTATAGGAGTATTTTATGTTGCTATAGCTCAATATTATTATTATTATTATTATCTGTTACATGCTTCTTACACCCCTATTCTCGTACAGACGACATGGCAGCATTTCATCTACCAGGAGACCCTTACTTCCATAATGAGGGAAACGCTAGATCGCTTGAGGCAGAACCCGAGGAAGTGATCGAAGAGGATCCTGAAGAAGAACCTGAAGAGGTTAATGAAGAAAAAGAACCCGAGGAGGAAGATGAAATGGAAGACGAAGAAGAGGAATTCGAAGAAGAAGAACCAGAGGAGGAAGTTATCAACTCTCCTTACATCGCCAAGGTGCCTGCGAACCATTTTGGCTACAACGGGCCTGAATCCTGTTGGGTAACAGTGATCGAGAGGTGGGTCCGATAACAACACCAACGATCACCATATGGCGATCAACGTGGTTACTACGACCTCAGCCACGGGGACCAACTGACAGAGCCCTCCCCATCATGGTCCAACATATTACGAATCTAGGAAACCAGAATAGTGAAATGGCAGATCAGGTTCGAAATCTCAATGCTGTCACGAAAGCCACCGATGCACGCACCAGGGAGTTAGAAAGGGACTTCTATCCCATGGAGCAACTTATAGAGAACCTTGCCGCCACTCGAGCAGAGGCAAGGGAGTACCAGGTGAGGCACGCATCTCTCGAAGAGAGAGTGATCGTGACCGAACGCCGGATTGCGGAGTTTTACGGAGCCTCGACCTCATCTCAAGGCCACAATGGACCAGATGCTACCCGCCTCGAGTAGTGTTTACACTGCTCACATTTTGTTATAAAATTAGGATTTTGAGTATGCGTTGGTGATACTTTTATTACAAGTAGGTTCGACCCTACGTCTAAGTGATTACACTATTCAAAGGGGTCTTTATGCTATAAATTTTCTGCTTCATTGATGTAATGTAGACCTCTTATGAGGTCAAGTTGTCTTAAGTAATATAAACGAACCTTATGTCAATGAAACTTAACTTGCGTTTTATTGGATGTTTGGCACTGAATCTCATAACTTGATATTACAAACAATTTGCAACTGACAACTCTAAGATTTATAAGGTGTGCCTCGCGGTTACGTGTAATTAAGAAATGGACGGCCTAGAAATGGTGAGTCCGCCTTAGGACCTATTCCTTGTTTGGTTGTGGACTTAAGGCAAACTCGTTAGATTCAACGGTTTATTAAAATTTTAACTTCACACAACTGGGGCATGACAAGTGAGTCTTAGGAGTGGGTCAGATATAGAACAGAACACAAGAAGCCATTACTACTAAATTCATAAGTGTATTTATATAGATTACTACTATAAATTGGTTGCAAACACCTGTAAGTCGGGAAGTGCTATACTAAAAAAAACTAATTAACCACTTCCATGACATCCGACTTATATCCATTACTGAAAGACTTACACTCATTTTGTCTTTAAAATTTTGACAGAACCATGCCGCCAAGAAAAAGACCAAGACCTTCCAGTAGCGCAGCACCACGTGCTCCACCACCACCCCTACAGTTTGATTCTGTGATGTTCTAGGCTGCAGTAACAGCAGCCGTGGCGGCAACAATGTCGCCGATGGGTACCAACGATGTCGGTAGCTCTGGATCCGAGGCTACCCACTCTAATCATGGGGACAGTACGGGGCGCACAAAAGAGTGTTCTTACAAAGACTTCACGAATGGCAAACCCGATTCTTTCAATGGAATCGGGGGCGTCATCGCACTAATGCAATGGTTCGAGAGAACCGAAGCAGTCTTCGAAATCTGTGGTTCTCCTGAAATGAGCAAAGTCAAGTACGTGGCATTCACTTTCACCAGTAGGGCTCTCACTTGGTGGAATGGCCGAGTTAAGTCACTTACTCCTACAGTGGCTAACTCTATAAGTTGGGAAGGCTTGAAAGTGTTAATGCTATAGGAGTATTTCCCGAGGGGTAAAGTAAAAAAACTCGAAGAAGAACTCTGGAACTTCAAAATGTCGGGCACAGATCTTGAAACTTATACTGCCCGATTCAATGACCTAGCACTCCTCTGTCCAGCAATGGTCACTCCAGAAGAGAAGAAGGTGGAATGATACCTCTGGAGGCTATCATCCTAGATTCAAGATAGTGTGCTGGCCTCGAAACCCACTACTTTTGAAAGCGCCGAGGAATTGGCACAACAACCTATCGATCACTAGGCCAGCCATGTCACGATGCCAACCACCACTGACCAAGCAAAAGGAGGGAACAACATGAGAACTTCTGGAACAATAAAAAGAAGCAACCGATGCATGAATCCGCAAAGAAATAGCAAACAGTTGTCATTCATGCTGCTACTACTCCTTCCACTCCGGAACCACTGAAACAATATGCTAGAAATCTTCCCAAATGCAACAAGTGCAACTTTCACCACACACGTGCTTGCCGGGAAATGCACTACAAAAACTGCAATAGGAAGCGGCATACTGCTCGTGTCTGTAAAATGCCAGCTCAACCAATCAACCAGGTCACCAATGCGGGGGTGAGTCAAACCTGCTACGGATGCGGTGAGGCAGCACACTTCCGAAGAAACTCCCCTAAAGAATGATCCCTTATTGGTGCAGTGGGGAGAGTCTTGGCAATAGGACATGGGGAATCAGTCAAGGATCCCACACCCTCCCTACCTTCCCTAGTCACTTCATAGTCCTTTCCCACTCATTTCCCAGCCATACTCATGTCCTAAGGGCTGGAAAAGCCACCCTCTCTCTCTTCACTTCACTCATTTTCCCTCATTTCCACCAAATATCAAACACATCTTTTCTCTCAAATTCTCTCTCAGAATTTCGAGATTTCCAAGGCATCCTTCAATCTTTCCTTCTACATTTTTTAAGTATCATCATCTTTCATATGATTATTACACTTCCTTTTAACTTAAATCATATATTCCTTACACAAGCTCCATCATATTTTTATTAGATTCTCGAATCTTCAAGGCATTCTCCAAAGTGTTCTTGGGTAGAACACACATTTTCTTCAACATCCATCCACTAAGAACACATAAGGTAAATTCATACCCCTACATTTTCATGTCTTCTTAAGGTTTAAGGGGGGAATACAAGTTAAATCACCAAGAACACAACTAAACTTCTCCAACAGCTTTCATTAGGAAAGTTCAACTCTAATCACGGACTGTTTTGGGCACCTTAAATATTTTTGTTTCCAAAACTGTACAAGGTGCAAGTAGTTGAAGTTATTAGCTTTAAAATGACTACTTGCAAATCTCCATACGATTTTTATAAAATTTATGCTGATTTTTACAAAACTTCCTATCATTTTAAGAACACATTCGGACCAGTCTGTAATTATGGACTTTTTCACACAAGTTGCAAGTCATTAAAAATCATAATAAAATTTATGAACAAACTAGACTCATTTTACAAACTCTCAAAATTTACGGCTTACGATTTGGACCTTTCATATTTTTTCTATAAATTTTATAAGAATAGTAATAGAAATGTTAACACTAGACAAATGCCATCAATTTCATTCACACCTTGTAACTTCTTGAGCAAGGTGTGTATCATTATGTGATTATATGTTATTATGTTATATGTCATTTTGTGTTGACACTTAGACATTACATCAGAAAATAAATGGATTTTACCACATTACGTATGGTGAATAATAAAATGTTATAAATAATGTTTACGTCCATTTCATTCAAACATTTGGTGAACTATGACAAGTGAATAGACCTTTAGATCAATCGATGTATCAAACAAAGACAATAAATAAGAACAAGAGAAATTCACGAAGAAGAACTTTCACTAAGAAAGATAATCTCACAAAGAGATTATCGTGTGCACAAAGCGACGATTAGGGTTTGTGAAAGGCGTGGTACTTTCACAAACCTGTACAAGATAATATATATACTGTTATTCTAGACAATCCCTACAATTCAGGGATATGCTAGCTAATAAATCAAGATAGCTAAGGAAACATAATAAATACATGATTTGTTACAATGCACTGAATAAACTAAACTGAGCAGTTACATGATGGTGCTGATGCTGAGACATGTGCTGACGCTGAGTCTGTTTTAAACATACTCATATTTCAAGGTTTGACCTTACAATCTCCCTCAATATGATGATATTCAAAACAAACTAAATAAAAACACCTCTTGAAAGAAATTCTTCATACTCAACTTCAGCTTCAATTTTAACTGGCTAGTAAGGACTGTCCAGCAATTCCTGTCTTCTGTTCAGCAGCTCCATGGCAATAAGAATGTGAAATTCTCCGGATAGATCTTGATGACTCATGCACATTTGCCTTAAGCCAACAAGGTGAGTGGTTGGAGCCTTTGGGATCTCAGTAGTTCATTGAAAGCACATCCTCCTATTTTTGTCTAGATAGAACATCCCGTGTTCAGGAGCTGAGATGAATTGATGCTGAACTGGATCAACACCTAGAGGAAGTGAATTGTTAATTACACCAGCACCAAAGTCTAGAACCAATACATCTTCACCATCAACATGAAACTTGGTTCTTCGAGATCTAGGAACTGACGACCTTTGTCCTTGATGCTGAGGTCGTTCTTTAGGAACAAGATCCAAACGCTGAACTTTCTTAATCAGCAGATGAAGAGCACAAGTCAGTTCTGAAGAGTGAGCTGAGGTTTGCTTGGATGCAAGATCGAGCAGTTCCATCCATTCCGAATACCCATATCTAATCAGTTCATCCCTCTTGACAACTTCAGTATATGAGTGTTGAGGACCTTGACGAGTGATCAGCAACGTAAGGATTTTCTCGTTTCGAGGTTTAGAAGCTTTGACTTTGATGATCTTATCTCCACACATTCGCCGATTAAAAACATCTTCAAATCTCTTTCGATCAATCCGGTCAAGAACATTGTCAGTCTTAGGCTTGCTAGAGCTAGGAGGAGGTTGAGAAGACTGAGCTTTGGACTAAAATTCCAGGAACTTCTGCATCTGAGCTTCAAAAGATCCCTTGGCCTGAAGTTTGTGCTGAATAAGAGATTCATCAGCTTGAGCAATGTTCTTTAGAAGCTGAGCTTGATTGGCTTCATTAAGAATTTGCTTGACTTGATCAGGGGACATGTTCCATTCAGTGGCAAGGTTTGAAATACTGACAATGGACTTGGGTTTCTTCACAGTTGAAGAAGTATCAGTTTGAGAATGATCCAAGTCAGTATCTGCTACCTTCTGCTTTCGAGATAGCGGATGAGATTCATCACTAGCAATGTCTGAATCCTCTCCTTGGACCGGAATGATGGAATCAGCAATAGGATCGGCTAATATCGGATGAGATTCTTCAAGGTCATCTAAGCTTTCTTGCTGAACTGGAATGAGAGGATCAATGAAGTTAATGTCAAGAATTTGACATTCATCATCAGGTTCATCATGCTCTTCATCATGCTCACTGTCTTCAAACAATTTTTCAGTAGCTGCTGGACTATTATGCCCCGCAGAATCAGATTCATGAATGGGGTTGGGTGATTCATGCTGAAAGATAGTGTTGTCAGTAGGTTCTGTGTCTTTCTCATTTGGTTCACCATCAGCATGAGCATTTGGTTCACCATCAGCATCAGCATCATTATCAGTGTCTCCCCCTTTTTGAACATCATTAGATTTGGGACTAGAAGGAGGAGTAAGTAAGAGAACCTCCTTGATTTGTTGAACATCAGCCTCAATACGAAGCAGACGCTGACTCATGTCCCGAGTCAGTGACATCAGTTCAGAAAATGCTGAAGCGGGAATTTGAACCATTGAGGTACCTGGGGCAACTGGAGAGCTAGGTTGCATCCTTGGAGAGAAGTGGTGAGCTGCTGGTGATGGATGCTCCCCCTGAGACTGATGCTCCCCCTGTGATGGTTGCCCCCCAGAGGCATGGAATCCTGTGGTGCTGAGGAGTCGTTGCCAGTGGCCGAGGTGAGGTGATGAGAAAGATGAGGGGAGAAATGGCCGCCATCATCATGTTCCACCTCTTGATCAGCACGATCCATACGATTACCATCAGCACCTCCTTCATCAGTGTCAGCGGAGAGAGAAGGCATAGTGTATGGATTGGCAATCCATTCTCTCATCCTATCAGAGATTCCAATGTCAGTATCCAAAGGATCATCCTGATACATACGAACGGACATTCGAGGGCATTGGATTGGATTCCCAGAGTCAGAAAAGTAGTCAGCAGCGAAGAATTTGTCGAACACCAGGGCAATCCAGCATGGAAAGGGAACATGATCAGCACGCACATTTGCACGTAGAAGCTGAACAAGCTGATCAAAGAATAGTGCCCCATAATCTAATCTTTTGTTGAGAAGAAGGGGGCAGACGACTTGTTGCTCATAATTGCTCAATTGATCACCACTACGAGACTTGTGACCCACACACTTGCATAAAGCACCAGTGAAAAACTTCCAGCCTGGGGTCATGCACTGACGCAAAATAAGAGCTGATCGAGTACCAGCCTTTGAATGATCATAGCCCAGTTGATCAAATATTCGTTTACATTTTTCAATAGTTGGAGGTTCAGAAAAGGGTTCGAAAATTGGTAACCTTAAAGCAGCACTGAGTAGTTCTGCGGTGATGAAGACAGAGTGTCTGCCATGACCAATGGTTCCGGTGATGGCATTGTTTTCTTCATTAACTGTTGCAGTATAGTAAAACTCACATACTTGTTCAGGGAAGAACTCGGACGGTACATCACTGATTGCATATCGAAGGTGGCAAGAAGCCAAGAAATTGATGAAATCATCGAGTCCAAGACCTCGATGAACCTCTAGAATGTCAGGGTTGAAGACGACATTGGTTGCCTTGATGTGAATTGGAAGTGGAGGAGAGTTTGGGGCAGGAACGACTCTTCGAGAGGTTGAGGAGTATGTGAACAGAGATGCCTCCATTAGAGAGAATTTGAGAATTCTAGGGTTTTTGAGAAAAGTTCGAGGTTTTGGAAGGAAAAATTAAACCAAGGAAGAAAGAGGTTTAAATATGGAATGAAAAGGGGGTTTTTAAAAAGGTAATAATTATCTTCATTAAAAAAAGGTGATGATTATCTTTATTAAGAATAACGGCGCATCGTAACAACCTGTCAGAGTAGAAAATAGTCGTTGGATAAAAGAGCCGTTGACTGAAGGAGAAACGTCAATCAGTGTTTGCGGAAGCGCTGAGCTCAGTGTCACAAAAGTTACTTGCTGAGAATATATCTCCGTCAACTCAAGGTACAACTTGCTTAATCGGGGCTAGCAAGGTGATTGGTGCGTGTGATAGATACTAGTTACATTATCTAACCATCGGCACAGAGTGTTGTGACTTCATCAGTGAGTGGTTTATCTTACTGAATCAGTAGACACTGAATAAGAGGAGGGTAAAGAATGGATTGTTGCGTGTGATAGATCTTGGTGTTTTGATCTAACCATCGGCAAAGATTTTAGATTCCCATCAGTGTGTGTTTTGGCACACTGAATCATAGAATCAGTGTAATATTGGTGAGAAGGGGTAGTTGCGTGTGATAAATCTTGGTGTTTTGATCTAACCATCGGCAAAGAGTTTCAAGTCGTTATCAGTGTATGGTTCAATACAGTGAATCATTCAACTTTCGTTTAGAAGACTTGAAGAAGAGATAAAGATAAGAAATCAAACCAAAGTGCTCAGTAGCAAATATCATCAGTATGTCATCATCAGCACAATGTACATCAGCTTATAAGACAATATCAAACATTAGCACAATTTAAACGTCAAAATTAATTACAAGGAAATCATTCCCAGTTCTCCGATAATGTAAGCAGTTGATTGAGAATCCAGTGCCTTTGTGAAGATATCAGCAAGTTGCTCCAAAAGTCTTGACATGTTCAAGAACAACTTTTCCTTTTTCAACATTATCTCTGATGAAGTGATGTCTGATTTCAATATGCTTTGTCTTTGAGTGCTGAACAGGATTTTGTGTGATCTGAATGGCACTGGTGTTGTCACAATATATGGGAGTCTTTGAGAACTTGAACCCATAGTCGAGAAGCTGATTTTGAATCCACAAGAGCTGAGCACAACATCTCCCAGCGGCAACATACTCAGCTTCTGCAGTTGAGATGGCTACTGATGTTTGTTTCTTGCTAGACCAGCTGATGAGACGATTGCCAAGGAAGTGACATCCACCAGATGTACTCTTTTTGTCTAAATTGCATCCAGCATAATCTGAGTCAGTGTATCCATAAAGTTCAAATGCTGAGTCACGAGGATACCACAGAGCAAGGTTTTGAGTTCCCTTCAAGTATCGAAAAATACGTTTGACAGCCATGAGGTGAGATTCTTTTGGATTAGCTTGGAATCGAGCACAGAGAATGGTTCCAAACATAATATCAGGATGACTTGCTATGAGATATAAGAGGGATCCAATCATTCCTCGATACAGAGAGTGATTGACATCAGTTCCAGTTGGATCAGCGTGTATCTTGTCAGTCTTAGACACTGGAGTAGAGGTTGGTTTGCAGTCACTGAGAGAATACTTAACAAGCAGGTCAGATATATATTTACTTTGACAAATGGAAATACCTGTCTTTTGTTGCTGAACTTCAAGACCTAAGAAAAAGGTCATCTTCCCCATCATGCTCATTTCAAACCTTTGAGACATGATCTCTGCAAATTCCTTGCTCAGTGTCTCATTTGGAGAGCCAAAAATGATGTCATCGACATAAATTTGAACAAGAACCATGTTTGAGCCTTTGTTTTTGATGAAGAGAGTATTGTCGATTGCTCCTCGTCTGTATCCATTTTCAAGCAGATACGATGTCAGCGTCTCATACCAAGCCCTGGGAGCTTGTTTCAGTCCATAAACAGCTTTGTCTAACCGGTACACGTAATCAGGATGATCTTTGTCCACAAAGCCTGGGGGCTGATTTAGGAATACTTCTTCTTCTAACACACCATGAAGGAATGCTGTTTTCACATCCATCTGATAGACAATGAAGTTCATGTAGGATGCGTATGCGAGAAACAGTCTGATAGCTTCAATGCGAGCAACTGGAGCAAAAGTTTCCCCGTAGTCGATGGATTCAATTTGAGTAAAACCTTGAGCTACAAGCCTTGCCTTGTTGCGAGTGATGATTCCATCTTTATCAACCTTGTTACGATAGACCCAACGAGTTCCAGTGATAGTTTGTGCCTTTCAAACTCATTCAGTTCTTCTTGCATGGCTTTGATCCAATCAGCATCTTGAAGAGTTGTGTGTACTTTATCAGGTAAGATCATTGAAACAAAGTTAACATACATGCAAAAGTTATTAAGTGCACTAGATCTGGTTCGGACACCATCATGAATATTCCCTATAATTCGATCAACAGGATGATCTCGATGTTCAAAGACTGATGCTGATTCCAAGAGATAGACATTGACGCATTATCAGTTTCAGGAGAATCTTCAGCTTCAAGGGTTTCATCAGCACTTAATGAATTATCTGCTGATGTGGCTGCAATATCTTGATTCAAGGAACATGGAACTGGAATGATAGGATCAGAGGAATCAGTCTTATCTTCAGCAGAAGGTGCTTCATCGAATGGATAAGAGAGAAGCTCTTGAAAGATAGAAGGAGAATGAGTGATTTTTTCATCAGTGTATGATTCCTCATCAAACTTCACATGAATGGATTCTTCAACACATTGCCTATTCACATGAAAAACACGAAAAGCCTTTGAAATAGATGAGTACCCAACAAAAATACCTTTATCAGCCTTAGGTTCAAACTTGGATCTTGGGTCACGCTGATTTAGAATATAACAAATGCATCCGAACACATGAAAAAAGGATACATCTGGTTTTCGATCTTTCAGCATTTCATATGGAGTCTTCTTGTGAATCCTGTGAATTAGAGATCGATTCTGAGTAAAACACGCTGTATTGACAGCTTCAGCCCAAAACGACATAGGAAGACCAGCATGGATCATCAAGGTTCTTCCTGCCTCAATCAGTGTTCTATTCCTTCGTTCAGCAACACCATTTTGCTGAGGAGTACGAGGAGCTGAGAAGTTTTGTCCAATTCCTTTATTGTCACAAAATTCTTCAAGAGTTGAGTTTCGGAACTCAGTACCATGATCACTTCTTAGTTGCTTAACTTTAAGACCTGTCAGTGTCTCATTTTTACGAATCAGTGAGATAATTTCCTGTGCAGCATGACTTTTCTTCTTCAAGAAAACTACCCAAGTAAATCGAGTGAACTCATCAACGACCACTAGAGTATACTTATTTCCACCTAGTGAACGAACAGGAATAGGTCCAAACAGGTCCATGTGGAGTAGATAAAGAGGGACTGATATACTGGAACATGACTTGGGTTTGAAAGAGGACTTGGTTTGTTTTCCTTGTTCACAAGCTGAGCACATCTTGTCTTTCACAACGCTGAATTTTGGGAGCCCTCTAACTAGGTCTTGATTGGATATCTTGGATAGATTCTTGAAGTTCAGATGAGAAAACCTTTTGTGCCAAATCCAGCTAAGATTCGTCTGAGACTTTGTAAAGAAACATTGCATCAGTGCCTTGTCACTTGAGAACATGTCAAGAACATATATATCATCTTTTCTACTTGCTGAGAGTACGATGTTCTTGTCAGTGTTTACAACTCTTCCTTCCTTCTTTGTAAAGTGAACTTCATAGTCAGCATCACACAACTGACTGATAGAAATGAGGTTGTGTTTGAGACCCTTTACATATGAAACGTTTTGAAAAAAACCACGTTATTGCATTTGATGTTTCCATATCCCTTAGTGAACCCCTTTCCATTGTCTCCATAAGTAACTGCAGGACCAACTTTCTTAACATAATCTTCCAGGAGAGACTTTGATCCCGTCATATGCCTTGAGCAACCACTATCTAAATACCAAAGATGCTCCTGACCCTGCAGTACTGAGAAACTAGTTAGTCATACTGACCCATTCAAAGATGGGTAATTCACAAAGTTATTTGATAATAGATTGTAACACTCCTTAGGAAGATAGTTTAAAGAGTTTGACTTAAGAGTCCATTTTTCATTTCTAACTTTAATATTTTCAGCTCTTGAGGATGATTTATCAAAAGAACATTCACTGATCTTGTGAGAGGAATTACCACATCTGTAACAAACTCTAGTGCCAAAGTTCTTCTTGGTGAGCAAATTTTTTGATTTAACACATTTTGACATGTAAGATTCACCAAGAGAGCTTTGAGTCCTTTTGCTAATCATTGAGTCACGACTGAATTCAGTATCAGGAGGAGTTTGATCAGTGTTAGGTGATAAATTATCAGTATCTGATTTTGACTCATTCACAGATGGATTGCAATCAGGGAAGTGCTTGAGTTGTTCATGAACAGCATGAAACATTGCATTTGAGATAGGAAAAGCAATAATATTCTCAGTTAGAGGGATTGGTCTAACAAGATGTGCAGGATAAGAGGTAGGATCAATTCCGGTAATTTCAACATTACACTCAGCGATACCATCAGAATTAGTAATGCAATATTCATCAATTAAACTTTGATTAATAAAAGAGTTACTGACAAACTTATTTTTAAAATTGTTTTTCATCTCATTCATGGAATAGACCTCAGATTCCTTTTCTTGTAATTTAAAAACTTTTTCAGCTTCTGCAAAATTACCCCCAAGAATTTTTTCACAAGAATGTGGAATTTGAGCTGAAATACTATAATTAGCATTCTTATGAGATTTTGCCCAAGTGTGAAGCACAGTTTGTTCTTTGATCAAAAGATTTTTAATATCATCAATTTCAGCAGACAAAGATGAATTTGACAAACTAGTAATTCTAAGATTTTCCTGAGTGAACTCAATAATACTATTTTTCATGGATATATCAGTTTCAAGAAGATCAATTTGATTTTGCAAATTTCTTATGGTTTGATTCTTCTTAGAATTAATGACACC